CTCCCTCCCCGCTGCCCGCGTCTCCCGGTGTCGCAGCCGCGGGAAGCGGCTCCCCGGCGTCTTCCTCCGCGCCTTCTTCCCCTCGCCCCCGCCGGGCCCGCTTGTTGCGCCGCCCGCGGCCTGCGGGAGCCGCTCGCCCGTCCCGGCGCCGGCCTTGCGCTCGCGTCTGCGCCGCCTTTTCCCTCGGCTTCCCGGGGCCCGCACCTCAAGTCTCGCCCGCAAGACCCGGCCCGATCCCGCCGCACGCACAAAATGTCGGCCCGGACGCCATTGCCGACGGTGAACGAGCGGGACACGGAGAATGTGAGTAAGCGGAGCCTCCTCTGGAGAGGCCGGGTCGCAGCCCTCCCTTGAGCCCCGCTTCACCCTCCGCCCGGCCCGACCCCACGGCCGGGGCTGGGGCTCCACAGACGCTGACCCCTGAACATCGCTCAAGCCCCATTCTTCATCCCAGCCCCGTTTATTGCCTTTCCCTCCAAGAAGAGGGTGGGACGGGGGTAGGGGGCTGTAAGTGGCCCCTTCTCCTTGGAGTGGTCCTCCAGGTGAGGTTGGGGTGATGGAGAACCTCAAGGCAGGAGATGGCAGCGGGCGTCCCCGATTGCTTTATTTCCCTCTTTGCATTCTGTATTCCCACCCGAATGTTTGTTTTTGGATTACAAGCAGTATGCTGGCTGGCTCCGTCTTCCACCCTTGATTTTCTGGATCTTTCAGCCCTTTGCACCCCTCCTCCCCCCGCATTGCCCCATGACTCTGCTTTTTGTAACATTGTGCCCACATTTTGGGTTGTGGGCACTATAGGGGGAAGGTCGGGAGTGGGAGGGACCAGAGTGGAAGATGAGAGAAAAAGAATGTGATGTGTGTGTGTGTGTGTGTGTGTGTGTGTGTGTGTGAGAGAGAGAGAGAGAGAGACAGAGACAGAGACAGAGACAGAGAGACAGAGTTTGTGCTCTGTGAACCTCTAATAAGCAGAATTTTCAAAGAACAGCTTCTGTGGCCCTAAGGTTATGGCAAAATGTTGAATAGCCTTATGGAGCCAATGGCTTTTTATTCTCTTTCAAGTCAGTGATAATAATTAAGGGCAGGTTTTACTTTAAATATCTCTCTCTTCCTTGGAGTGTCACAATGTACATTTCTTTGAAAGGAAGATTTTCTGTGTCTTTGATCAAAGACCCCTCAGGTCTTTTCATGGAGATGGATGTCCTTGTTGAAACACCTGAAAACCCAAAGAACAAAAGCAGTTGTTGTATGTTTGCCTTTTGGGAAGTGTGAGTCCGTGTTGCTTTGTAAACGAGGCTTTTTTTCTTTCTTGTAAGCAAAACATAATGCCCCAGTCCTCATTGATATATGGGAATAGGGCCTTTCCTGATTTTCTGACTGATTTTAACAGAACTATAGTAAGTTAAGGAAGTAGTAGAGTAGGGAGGCTGGCCATAGCTCTTTTGGCTTGCCAACTCATCAGCCGTCTAGCTCTAAGTGTACCGACATCTTTTTAAGGTTAATAGAGAGAAATAATGAAGTGGCCTGACGATCCTAGACAAAAGGTATGAGAAGAGCTACAAGCTCCCTTCCAAAGGTTTACCCCAAAATAAAAACTCCTTCCCATCAAGGCAATTCCTACTGATTGCAACCTTGTAGGATAGAGTGAAACTGCCTGATAGGCTCTACAAGGCTATAAGCCTTAAAGGAAGCAGACTGCCTCACCTCCTCCCCCAGAGCTGCTGGTGGGTTCCGATTGCTTGTCTCTCCATTAGCAGCTGCACGCTTAACCACTGCATCACTAGGGCTCCTTTTTCAGAAGCCTTAGGGATATACACTCATTTTGATTTTGGGCAACAGTGAGAAGGAGGAACGTTAATATAAAAAAATGAGGGGAGAATTCTATAGACCATTGTTAGAATATCACATATGTTGCTTTAGAGAATGCTTTTTGTTCTGTGCATTTAAAATGGTAAACTGCCGCGTACTGATGTTCTCGTATTGTTTTTAAAAACATTTATTGAGTAGGTATATTGACTGAGAGATTGAAGGTGAGAGAAAAGATGACAAATTTGGTTAAAATTGGTTGTGCAACCCAGTTGGTTTCAAATTTTCTGTAGAGCCTAGAATTTAGCCTAGGTTTAGAATTTTTCTAATAGGAGTGCTTTAAAAATTTTTTTTTTCTTATCTTTTAGGAGTCTGAATGAAAAACAAGTTGGTGACCTTTGTATTTGTGAAACAAATGACTATAAATGTTGTTAGCTTAGGAGGGATGATAAAATTGCTTTTGTTTCCTTTTGGATCTTGAATAGCATAGTTTCCATGGTCCCTCTCTCCCTTACTTCTATGAATAAGGGAATGTTACACTGTCATGAACAAGCAGTATAGAAATATGCATCATCAAATAGTAATTGAAAATGCAGCATTGCATGAAAGAAAGAAAATGGATTTTTAAGCTAAGGAATGGTAATGTATTTGTGTGTATGAATGAATATCTTTTGAAAATGATTATACTTTATAAACTTATTTGGTCTGTTTCTGAACATACTATTTCAGAGTAATTTCTGTGGCCTCTGTCCTGTTGTTATTGCATTGTACTTATACACACCTTCATTTAACTTGCTTTACTCCATTGTAGTTTTTTTTCTGTGTGCTGTGGAAAATATCTGTTATATCTATTGAAAATAAAGAGCCCTGCTTTTGGTAGTAAAATTCTCAACTGCTTACTGAAAAGTCAAGTCAGGACCTATTTAAAGATGACCCTTCAGCTAGTTTTCAGAGGCTGTAAATCACACAAGAGATTGCCCATCTTTGTTCTGCAGAACAGGTGCTGGATTTCAACTGCCTGCCTTTGGGTTGGCAGTATAACTCTTTACAGAAGAAGAATTGAGACCTTTGAGCTGTGGTGTTGGAGAAGAATACTGAGTATCCCACAAACTGCCAAAAAAACCACACAAATAGATATGTCTGTTTGCAGACATGGTGCTCCTTAGAGGCAAGGATGGCAAAACTTTGTTTCACAGATCTTGGGCATATTGTTAAGTAAGATAGGCTAGTCCTTTCAGAAAGACATCATGCTTAGAAAGGTAGAGTCATTAAAAGAGAAAAAGATGCTCAACAAGATGGATTGACATAATGATTGTATCAGTTGGCTTAAGAGTATCAGAGATAATGAGATTGGCTCAGGATATGCAGGGTTCAGATCTTTTGTTTGATGACACCTATCAACAACCAAAACGTCATCAGTTGGAACCCACCAGCCACTCTACAGGAGGCAGATGTGACAATCTGCTTCTTTCAAGTATCACAGTCTTGGAAAGCCTCTGGGACATTTCTGATTGGTCCTGCAAGATCGTGGAGTTGGAATCAACTAGATAGGAGTTTGGATTTTGGTTATAATTGTATAAGTATGCTGTCTTTTCTGCACTTCTGGTGGAAGTGATGCAGAAGAGTAGTTAACCCTGGGTTGATGCCCTTTGGAGGTTATAAACTTGACTCAGACTCTTTGCCATTAAGTTAGAATTGACTTACAGCTGGATCTCCAGCAGGTTTCTGAGGCCATAAATTGCATGTGTGTGAGAAGATTGCTCATCTTTCATTGTGGAGTTGCTGGTGGATTTTAACCACCAGAGAGGGAGGCATGGTTTGTGAGTTAGCACAATTTCCTACAGACTATACTATCAGTGCCCCCCTCCAGAAGCTCATAGGGGAGATAACTGTAAGCCCAACAATTAAGTGTGCAGTAGAAGTATAATTTAAGGTGGTAAATTAGGGAATTTCATTCCTAATTTTTAGGAGTTTGAGTGTAAAATAGGATGATGGCCTTTGCATTTATGAAAAAATAATTACTGTATAGGTTAGCCTCAAAGGGAGGAGAAAATACATTGGTTTTCTTTTCCTTTAAGCCTTGAATACCCCCTTTACCAAGCATGGTGCTATTTTTCAGAAACTAGACCCTCCTGACAGCATGCCCATAAGCGTGAGAGATGAATTCCTACTACATGTTCACTTGTAAGGGACATTCTTACTGCCCTTCTTCCAAGACAGATTTGTTTTTTTCTTTTGGCAGCCCACTGTATAATCAACACTCTTTTGCCAGTCATTCAAAGGCATAAATCCTTTTTCAGTCTTCCGTATTTGGTGTCTAATTTTCCCATGCATGCGAAGGAATGGAAATACTATGATTTGAATCAGAACTCCTAAGTGCTCAAAGTGACATCTTTGCTTTTTTAATACTTCAGAAAAGGTCTTTTGCAGCTTATTTTCCCCATTACAGTACATCTTCTGATTTCTTTTTTTTTCCCTGTCAATTTTTTTAATTATTAATTTTAGTGAAAATTTACAGAGACTTTGGATTTCCATTCATTCATTATTGTACTTTTCTCCCTGCTCCCTTCCCTTCCATCATTTGATTTCTTGACTAGCTGCTTCTGTAGGTGTTGATTGTGGATCCAGCTTAAAAAGAATTATTAACAACTTCATCTTTTCCGTGTTTATCCTGATGTGGCATATTGGTCCAGTTCTGAGGATTTTTATGTTCTTTATGTTGATGTGTAATCTGCACGGAAGACTGTATTGAAGATTTTGACCTCTCCTTCCCAAGGACTTGCTGGAAGACTGGACCTACCTGAGCTGCATGACCTCTTTTGGATTAACAACACCAAGACTTCATATTGACTAAGTCACTAGAGCACAATTAAGTGTTGCAGAATTCCAATTCTTCCCATTGGTTGCCTTTGCATAGTCTATAAAATACAAATAAACATCTTTATGGCCTTCTGTGCTTCAGCTAAGATCCATGGAATGTCAGTAGTAACAGCACCTAGGTCTGTGTCCTCCTTTGAATCCAACTTGCATTTCTTAAAGTTCTCTTGACAGTGTACCCCCCCCCAATCAATTTTGAATGGACTTCAAGAAGATTTTACTTATATTTGGGGAGCTCTGGTGGCCTGGTGTCAAGAAGCTGTGTTGTAATCCCAAAAGCATGCAGTTTGAATCTACCAACTGCTCTGTGGGAGAAGGACGAGCATCCTCCCGTGTGATTAACTGCCTCTGAAAACCCACTGAAGGGTCAGCTATGGGTCTGATTCGACTCAAAACTAGCCTTTTTCAAAACTTGCATTTTTGAAAATTCTCATGACAGTGCACCCTCCAATTCAATTTTGAATGGACTTCAACAAGATTTTACTTATATACGATCTTAATGAAATTGCTTTGTAATTTTTTTTGTGTTCTACTGTATCACCTTTCTTTGGAATGGGCACAAATATGGATCTCTTCCATTAGGTTGACCAGGTGATTGTCTTCCAGATTTCTGGCAGAGATGA